CTTCGAAGAAAGCACATTACTGGTACAAGGCAAAGGGCGACCCCTGACCTACAAAAAGTCGGCAACAAGAGTGACTTTTTCACCTGAAACTGAAAGGGATCTGGTTATTAATTTCATACGCACATGGTTTCACTTGTCCTATATAGTTAGCTACCCATGTTATCCAAATGGTATATGTGCTCGATTTGCATGATTTCTTGCAAGAGCATGTTTGGCTAAGCTTTAAAAAAATAAAACCCACTTTTAAAAAGTTTTTTTCAAAACATATTTGGATGTATTATTTTTTATTCTTATGTGTAAGTAGAAAAGTTATGTATTCTTCTCATAATTGCGAACATAATAGGCCTAACAAAAATTAACAATTTGCTTAAAATCAGTTTGGACCGTCAACTTCGATCTGAGAAGCTAAGTGTTAACTGTTTTTAAAAGGAAAGTGTATTTTTAAAGGAGCATTGCAACGTTGACATCTTCAATTTATTCGTATCAACGTGGTCAGATAATAGAATTTAATTTCTTTTAATTTTTAATAATACTTTTTATTTTATATTCTCCGATCTAAATAAACTTTTCTGAATTTAAAATAAAGATTCAGCTCAAACTTTTTAAAACAATGATAAGTTAAGGCCTTGTTTGGTCCCAATTATTTTCAAAATATCAAAAAAATTCTTATTTTTAACCACACATTCTCTATGAAATCACTATTCCAAAATGCAATCTTGTCAAAAAAATGGGGCTCAAACAATTTTTCACAAAATTTGTTGCAAAATTATATTAGTTGGTTTTTATTTTAATTTGTCGCACTCGTAAATGAGTAAAGACCAGAATTTCTTTAACAAAAAAAAAAAAAAAAAATTCATTCTATTTTTGACATTTCATCTGTATATAAATCATTATGTAACTATTTATATACAAACAGTTTTTCCACCAACCAATGATAAAATGCTACTTCGACATTATGTACACGAAGGTGCAAACCCTAATGTACATGTAAAATAATTCATTCTTTTATCCCTAGGCTTTGTAAAGTTCAACAAGTCTGAAATAAATATGATTTTTTTTATTTACGTGTAATATTATTTTATTAAAAAAATGATTATAAATAATGGAACCCAAACAAGGGCAAACAGCAATGTCCCAAAAACTCAAACATGAATTTTGTTATTTGTACATAAAAAATGTATATAATGAATTACATAATATGGTGTGGAAGGAAAAGATTGGATGGAAAAGTTTGTTGTGTTTTAAATTGATAAATGGTAGAGTGTCGTGTGATATTATGTAATTTATTGTGTAATTTTTAACGTATATGTAGCAAGATACCCCGAACATTCTGTTTGACCACGTGTCAAACCGTAATCCGACATTCACACAAACATTCAAGACTACTAGGTGACACTTAACAGCTCCATGAATTGTGTGACCAGACTAGAGAGAGAAATCAAAACTCCCGCTCCTCCATTTACATATATGGTAAATTAATACGGTCCTTGTACACCCATTTTTCTCTCAATTTTCGCCCCTATTTTTCCTCAAAATTTCAGTTTTGTTTCAATATATATACACACATGCATTAACAAGCTTCAATACACTTACATTTCTATATATTGTATGTATATGTATGTATAAGTAGAGTAGAAGTATAATTTATGAAGTGTTATCTTCATTGATCGGAAGTGAATATATATATGCACACACTGATTTTTGTGTATATTAGAAGAGGTCGGAGGAAGAAAGATCGAGGAAGTGAAAAATGGCCGCAAATAAGGGTAGCAGCTTGGAGGAGATAAAGAATGAGAACGTCGACCTTGTACGAGCCTTCATTTCTCTCTAATTATCTTATAATTGTGTGTATGTGTGTTTTCACACTGATTTTATGAGTTTAAATTAAAATTTTACTCGTTGATTCAGATTGTTCGTTTAAAATTTAAACGCGTATTAGTTTGTTATGCAATATATGTTTGTTCTAAGATTTTTGGGAGAGAAATTTCAGTACTTTATCTAATCAATTACATTCCATGCACGATAGTTTGTTATGCAATATATGTTTGTTCTAAGATTTTTGGGAGAGAAATTTCAGTACTTTATCTAATCAATTACATTCCATGCACGATTTGTTTATTGATATGATTTTGATTTTTTTTTTCCTTGGTTGGGTATAGGAGCGCATACCGGTTGAGCAAGTATTCGAGCAATTGCAAAGTTCGAAGGAGGGATTGACAAGTGCTGAAGCCGACAAGCGGCTTCAAATCTTTGGGCCAAACAAGCTAGAGGAGAAGAAGGCAAAACTTTATAATTTTCTTTGCTCAGTTTCGTTTTTTCGATTAATTGATTTGGTGATAATTTATAATTCATGTTTAAACTTATGGTTTATAAACAGGAAAGTAAGCTCCTCAAATTTTTGGGTTTCATGTGGAATCCTCTGTCATGGGTTATGGAGTGCGCTGCTATCATAGCCATTGCATTGGCAAATGGAGAGGTGATTCTCATACAAATATTTAAAAGTACGTTGGGTTGTTCGTGTCTAACTTCGGTAAGCCGAGAATAAATGATTGCAGGGTAAACCACCGGATTGGCAAGATTTTATTGGTATTGCGGTTTTACTGGTGATCAATTCGACCATAAGCTTTATCGAGGAAAATAATGCCGGGAATGCTGCTGCAGCTCTAATGGCAGGCCTGGCACCAAAGACGAAGGTATTCAGAGTTCCATCTGAGGCATTGACAATACCATGTTTCAATTTCATGGTCTTGAATTTGAGTTTATTTATTTACTCATTATTTTTTTGTGTAGGTGCTGAGGGATGGCAGATGGAGTGAGCAGGAAGCTGCGATTTTGGTACCGGGAGATATAGTTAGCATAAAGTTGGGAGATATTATCCCAGCAGATGCTCGATTGCTGGAAGGGGATCCCCTCAAGATTGATCAATCTGCACTGACCGGTGAGTCGTTGCCAGTGACAAAGAACCCCGGGGACGAAGTGTTCTCAGGCTCCACCTGCAAACAAGGTGAGATTGAGGCTGTTGTCATTGCCACTGGAATCAACACTTTCTTTGGAAAAGCTGCTCATCTCGTTGACAGCACAGAGCAAATCGGCCACTTCCAGAAGGTATCATTTGCAATCATGAACTTGATTGACATATCCAATTCGTATTACGCGATTTAATTACAAAAAATGATCCAATTTAATTAGGTGTTGACGTCCATTGGTAACTTCTGCATATGTTCCATTGCGGTGGGCGTGGTAATAGAGATAGTCGTAATGTACCCAATTCAACACCGGAGGTACAGAGATGGAATTGACAACCTTCTGGTTCTTCTCATTGGAGGCATTCCAATTGCCATGCCTACCGTGTTATCTGTGACTATGGCAATTGGATCGCACAGGTTGTCACAGCAGGGTGCAATCACCAAGAGGATGACTGCTATTGAAGAAATGGCTGGGATGGACGTACTGTGTAGTGACAAGACTGGTACTCTTACCTTGAACAAGCTCACAGTTGACAAAAATCTAATCGAGGTTGGTAATTTAATAGAGAATGACAACAAAATTTCAAGTCAAAAAATGAAAGCATAGTATACCCACTGGTAACATGAACAGTTTTACACTCTAGGATAACGGACATCATGTTGTGTAGGTATTTGCTAAGGATTGTGACAAGGATATGGTGATTCTTCTTGGTGCTAGAGCTTCAAGGGTTGAGAATCAGGATGCTATTGATGCTTGTATTGTCGGAATGCTGGCTGATCCCAAGGAGGTACCATGAATTGACTGTAATACATACTCGTCTATGGTCTAACTATCATAATCACTATGCAAATTACTTGTGATCCAGGCAAGAGCAGGGATCACTGAAGTGCATTTCCTTCCCTTTAATCCGGTGGAAAAGCGCACAGCTAATACATACATAGACAGCAATGGAAATTGGCATCGGGCTAGCAAAGGGGCCCCTGAACAGGTAAACTACATTTGTTCCAGAAAAATAAAATGAGATTTGCCCCCTAACTTTGTGTGGTTGCTAATATATCTTGTTGCAGATTGTTGAGCTCTGCGGCCTAAAGGAAGACGTGAAGCAAAAAGTTCACTCCATCATTGATAAATTTGCTGACCGTGGTCTTCGCTCTCTTGCTGTCGCTAAACAGGTGATTTCATAAATTTCTTTTCGTATTCATTCGATGAATAAATTCAGCTTTATACAACTCAATTCAGCTGGTGATAGTTTCCCTTTTTTTTCAGACCGTACCGGAGAAGACAAAGGAGAGTGCAGGATCGCCGTGGATCTTTGTTGGTCTCCTGCCACTTTTCGACCCTCCAAGGCATGACAGTGGAGAGACCATTAAGCGTGCCCTTAACCTTGGTGTCAATGTAAAGATGATTACAGGTGATCAGTTGGCTATTGCAAAGGAGACTGGTCGAAGGCTTGGAATGGGAACAAATATGTATCCTTCTTCCTCCCTACTTGGACAACACAAGGACGAGAGCATTGCTCATCTCCCCGTTGAGGAACTCATTGAAAAGGCTGATGGCTTTGCCGGAGTCTTTCCTGGTGAGAAGCCTATGCATTCGTTTAACTGATGTGTTCACTAGTCTAATCCATGTGAAAATGATTTATTGACCACGTTTTTGGGGACGGCAGAGCACAAATATGAGATAGTGAAGAAGCTGCAAGAAAGAAAACACATCTGTGGAATGACAGGAGATGGAGTGAACGACGCACCTGCTTTAAAGAGAGCGGACATTGGCATTGCAGTGGCTGATGCTACTGACGCTGCCCGTGGTGCATCAGACATAGTCCTAACCGAGCCAGGATTAAGTGTGATAGTGAGTGCTGTTTTGACAAGCAGGGCCATATTTCAGAGGATGAAGAACTACACAATTTATGCAGTTTCCATAACTATTCGTATTGTGCTCGGTTTCATGCTCATTGCACTCATCTGGAAGTTTGACTTCTCACCATTCATGGTTCTGATCATTGCAATACTTAATGATGGAACCATCATGACCATTTCTAAAGACAAGGTGAAGCCATCGCCATTGCCTGATTCATGGAAACTGAAAGAGATTTTCGCCACTGGAGTTGTTCTTGGAACTTACCTTGCAGTGATGACCGTTGTTTTCTTTTGGGCTGCAAAAGAATCAGATTTCTTCTCGGTAAGGAATTGGACTAGATAAAATAGTATCAAAGATTATTTGTCAGATTGCTGAAATTCATAATATACAATCACCTTTGCAGGACAAATTTGGTGTAAGATCAATCAGGCATAACTACCACGAGCTCAATTCAGCTCTCTATCTTCAAGTTAGCATAGTTAGTCAGGCACTCATCTTTGTCACTCGGTCAAGAAGTTGGTCTTTCGTGGAACGCCCAGGTCTACTACTTGTTGCTGCTTTTTTTATAGCACAGCTGGTAAGTTTCTTCCTCTCATTTCCATTAATTAACAGTTTCTTATGATTTGATAATTCTGATCACTATGATTGTGTATATGCTCAAGATTGCAACATTAATAGCGGTCTATGCAAATTGGAGATTTGCAAGGATCCAAGGAATTGGTTGGGGATGGGCCGGTGTAATCTGGATTTACAGCATTGTCTTCTACTTCCCGTTGGATATTTTCAAGTTCTTCATTCGATATGCGCTGACCGGCAAAGCGTGGAATACTTTAACTGATAACAGGGTATTTTATGATTGTAGTCGACCCTAAATATGTTGGACTAAAGTTTAGTTTGTTGTTATTCTAGTCTACTCATTCAGCCTTTCTCGTCTTTTGAATTATACAGACTGCCCTGACATCGAAGAAGGATTATGGTCGAGGAGAAAGGGAAGCGCAGTGGGCTATGGCTCAACGCACGCTACATGGCCTCCAGCCACCAGAGACTTCTGACCTTTTAAATGACAAAAATAGCTACCAAGAGTTGTCTGAAATCGCTGAACAGGCCAAACGACGAGCTGAAGTTGCAAGGCTGAGAGAGCTTCACACTCTCAAGGGTCATGTCGAGTCAGTGGTGAAGCTCAAGGGTCTTGACATCGAGACAATTCAGCAACACTACACTGTTTGATAGCACGACTAAGAACATATAATTGGATTTTCCGAAGGAGAGAAACAATATCAAAATAAATATGTTCTTTTTTGTCTTCGGTTGTTGTTCGAATTGGTGGAAATAATGATGAAATCATTTGTAATAATCCAACAAGAGAAGTTGGAATCATCGGTAGTAGGGCATAGAATGAGTTTAGTTTTAACATTATGTAGCAGTCAATTTGTATGAATGTTCATGCATTAAATTTTGCTAATTAGAACTACAAGGAAATCGTTCCTAGTTATAATCATTCAATTTAAGGTTCTGCATCTTAAATTATTCCTCCTATCCTTATCATCATAGTGTTCTGTCATTTGCCAAAACTACTTTCTATTTGAGGGTTTCGAAACGATAAAAGACATACAAATGCTTTCGATCTTAGCGACGTGTTAGAGAACGCGTCCTGTGAGACATAGATCAAGATCCCAAAAAGAGGGAACCAATCCCTTCCATGACTGTATAAATCTCTTCATGCATCTTTTAACAGTTAAGTCGAGTCTGGTTCAATAGTTAAAAAATTCATATTAATTTATTTTAACGAGTTTTACAATCTTTTTACAATTCGAGTTTTCTGTACCGAGTACTAGAATCGAAATGGATCAAATCGTCAAGTTCTTGGTTCTAGACCAGAAACCGTTTAAACCAGACCAAATTGGCAAGTTCGATCCGGAAATTTTTTCCACCTCCAAAAAGTACAATAAATTGAACATCACTTGATGTGAAAGAAGATGACCGATTGATGACTTGCAATTCAGCAAAAACAACCATATAACAACTAATCATCTACCGTCATAGCAACTTTCAATAACAATTTGGTACTCCCCATTGACGACATTTCACGACGACCTAAACCCGTACCATGTATCAAGTTACGGCCGGTTTCAATTTTTCCACCATATGGCTTATTCTTCTCTAATGATTTCAAGATTTGGTTGCCAATTATTATCCAAAGAAGTCAGTTTGACAGTAGGATTATCAGACCCTCCCTTTCCACTACCAACTGTTTTCTTATTTCTCTTCTTGGTAAGTGATTTAGTCTCATCAGAAGCAAAATTGCTAGATGATTTCATTTCCTCACTCGAAGTATTGTTTGTGCTGCCTTTCATCTTCATCCCTGTTACTTTTAGCAAACACGTCGAGCAATTCTGTAGCTGATAATCATCGCCTTTCTTGTTTTTAAACAACCAGCAATTCTGCGATTTTTCTTTGCAGTTATCTTGATTCATCTCTTGATTTTCTCGACCTAGGAAGTTGTTAGAGGCCAAATGCTTCAATTGAAGTTTTCTGATGGTGCTGAGAGGGACGACATAGTATTTTTCGCCGGGCATCAGGGTGGCGTCGGGAGGAACGATGTCCCATGGATGGCGGAACACGGTTGGCTTTGTAACACAGCATTTCGGGTTCCGATTAAGCAAGTCGGAGGCGAAAATAGGCCTGTCGTGTAGTTCTACATGGCCGCCTGGATGAACAATCTTAACAAACAAGGTTTTGGTGTTATTAGCGCATAGCCAACTTGATAATAAGGCCATAATGGTTTCTCTTCTTCTTCCTTTATGTTTTTAGGGTGGGTAGGGGGTGTTTGTTGTTGTCAACTTGAGCATGGAGGGTAAATGGAATGGGCTATAACGACACATTTATAGGTCGGCAAGAATTTGCATTAAACTTTGTTTGGTGTTGGATTAAGGTTGGTGATTATTTATTAATACTAAAACTAAAAATTAATAAAATACAAACTTAGGAGGTCGGCATTCGACCTAGCATCTAACTAGTAAAAATAAAAAAGGAAAATGTTGGCTAAAGAATAATGGGAAAGCTAATGCTAAGTTTTCCGTGCTCTCTTCGTGATTTTTGTCACTACGGGACTTGTTATAAATTTTGTCCCTCAATATTCCCGAAATAAGCAAATTCAATTCAAAATCAGCATTAGGAAAATCATGTCATACTCCCAAATTAAAAGGGAAATTCGTAACAAATAAATTAAATTTTCTATTGGTACCAAAATACTTCTGTTTTGTGGAAGCAACATTTCCGTCGAAAGAAATTATATTCAAGTAAGTGCAAATATGTCATGGTTATAACAATTCATTCATTGTGTATAGACTTGAAGTCGAGAATGTCATAAGTCGAAGTTTCGTAATCAGTCATTTTTTTTAGGGAGACTTGTTGAAAATTAAACTCAAATAAATAACTATTCTTTTCTAATCATTTAATTTTTTTGGCTGAAGAGATTTGACGTACACAATGGGCGAACAATTTCGATTATTGGACGATGAAAAAGGACATACTAATGAATATGCTTTTCCATGACTTGTTTTGATTGTCTAAACCTTTGGAAATTCCGTGACAATTAAGGATTCTTTGTTTTATTAGATATGGACAGAAAATATTTGTTATTTGTATGTAGTATTGTATTGAATTAGAAATTAAAGGCAAAATCGTTTCATATTAAAGTTTAAATACATTTTTTAATGTTTTTATTCAACAATGCTCTTGTACTTTAAAATCGGATTTATTTTTTTCATCTGTAACGGTGAGACTTTCATTAATACTAGTTAGACGCACGTGCAATGCACATGTGATAGCGTCGTTGGCTCACACGGGAACCTGTCTTCCTTTAGTGATTCGCGAAGTGTCTTCACCACCTCTCTCGCTGATTTCAAGTAAGCGTTTTGGCAAAACTTTTCCAGATTTCGTCATCTCATTATGATTGAACGATGACTTCATAGTCTCGAGCACTCTGTCGTCTTTATCATCCAAGACATTTGACTCTTCTCCAGCCCAAGCAGGCAACTCGACTGACTCGCAGTACGAGTTGAAAGTTGCACATGAAGCCACATCCTAAAACAAACTCGTTGCAGTCTATCTGTTTTGTTGAGAGACCAAGAGAGCAGCTATGGACAGGGAATAAGGACAACAAGGAACAAACGCATAGCAACAGAAGAAGACAAATAAAACATCTCAAAGATCGGTAAATGACTCACTACGAATTTATGTGTGTTGTTTTCATTTCTTTTATTGCACATGTAAATGGAAATTACAACTTAAATCCATAAAAACGAAATTACTGTGAAACATAGGCCCCCTCTAACAAAGGTACTAAAACCTTCTAGCTGGTCGTGAAATCTTGGTATCTGCCTATAGCCGGATGTGCCCCTCAAATCTTTCCTCAATTGCCTAATTACGCTCCTACTAGCAGTCGCAGAACCCACAAGAAGATGAATCAAAGGCCCCTGTAAATCCTGTAAATCTGGATTATCAACCAAGCTCAAATTCATGGAAAAGATAGAAATTTTAAAACTGCTGCAGAAACTCAAATCCAATATGTCAATTCTTATATAATTTCTGTATAAATCATAAAATATAATAAAGCATTACTTGAATCGAACTCACCAGGTTTGCTACTATCCCCAACTGAATTATAAATGGCAAGTGGATACATCTTTGTTGCAAGAAAAGATGCCATAATTGCTTTTAATCCTACCAAAATTGAGTGGCAGATTCTTCTTCACTCATTGTACTCGTTCATTCAGGAGAATATCTACATATTAAAACATTCAGCGCAAATAGACAATTTACTTACCAAACTATTGAGAGTACCTTCGAGCCCAACAGCTACAGAATCAGAGGGCCCTTCAATGAAAGCTTCTTGTTCAAAAGATTGAACCCCATTCTCACTTGTACTCACAAGGGTTCTCATTGAATCTATCGTGGTTTTTGGATTCCGGGTCTTGTTAGCCCAGAAACCAAATTTTCGAGAAATCACGTTCCCTCGAAAATACAATTCTCTGCAAAAAAAAAAAATTTGTTCGAGCTATGAAATCTTTCAGACAAGCAAATTGTACAATTAGATAAATTTTCGAACCTTTATATTTTCTCTCTGGAACAAATCTCCTTCTTCCCAAAATCCTCATTCGCTTATGATTCTCTTGAAGACGACGGTAGGGTTTGAGA